ACGGCCATGCTTGGATGCAGGCCAGAGTCGTGGTGTAGCCTCTTTTATGTCCTGTAAACCTCTCTAATTGTTCAAATACCTAGTGCTACAGACAACGTGCTGTTGGTGGGTCAGTGAGCGTAGGTTCCAAGCTGTGTTGGGATTTTGGGCTAATCTCTCCGTATCTCTGGCAAAAGCTGCACGTGCCCATCTGACACTGATCTCTCTCTGCTTTCCTTAGGATGTGGGTTCCCAGAGCCACCGTTCTGAGCTGCTACTGGACATGAAGGTTCTGTCTCCTGTTTCGGCCAGCCCCCTGTACAAGGTCAGTGCTCTGCACGTGGTCAGGGCGGCTCCGTGGATAGGCAGGGTAAAACGCTGTGTTGCGGTGCACTAATCACAGGATGATGCCGTTGGCATAAAGGCTCTGCAGAGGCCAGCAGGAGTGGTGTGGGAAGTGTCAGGGCTTCCAGCAGCACTACTGGTGCATTGTTTTTTCTGCAGAGATGAGGTGCAGGTAACTGCACAAAGAACATAAACTTTGAGTAGAGGTGGCCTTCAAGGGATGCATGTGTGCAAGCTCACACGGGTGCTTTTGCTGCCCCAAAACAAGCGTAGATAAATGCCTTTCCTGGGGAACGGTGGGGAGCAGAGTCTGTTTTACTTTTCTTTTGTGAGTATGTTTGTCCTTTTTCTCTAAAGTGGATGGAAGGGATTTGTGGAATAGAAAGTGATAGCATAAATGGGAGGAAAAGGAGGTTGACTCCCTTTGACAGATTTTGGTCTAGGGAAGCTCATTTTTAAGCATTTTGGTTGTATTGCCTGCTTTCACGTAGGGGGAAAAATGGGCTCTTTCCAGCAAGTCTAGCACATGGAGTAGTGTAGATATGCATGCACGTGACTGTGTCCTGTATCGCATTAGCCCAGGATGTGGCTACCATCAGGCAGTTCTCACTGGAGAAGATTGCTGTGCCTCTTCAGGTTCTAGCCTCGCATTCTCAGCGTGGTGCTGAGCTGGCTTCCCCAGCCCCGCGTTCCTGTCGAGCCCTCTCCCGCACCGCCTCGGCTCACCGGTGCCTTGGCTGGGAGAGCGTGCCGCGTGGCGAGGTGCAGGGTCGGGCTCCAGCTGGGGTGTACTCAGCCTTGCTCTGATTGTAAGTGAGTTGATCAGCCATGCTGGAGGAGACCCTGGGTGGCAAACTCGCCACCTGTCCAGCAGAGAGGAGTGATCCAGTTAGTGAGGTTGTCTGGAGGATACACCTGTCCTCTTGTGCCTAATAACAAGCGTAATCAGATGTGAAGGGAAAACAAAACATATGCCTGCTGCGTTCTCCCCTCTGCCTCTCGCTGCAGCGCAGTCACTGCATACAAATGGTGCTGGAGCAGCTGCCATCAGAGTTTTCCAGCCCTGTTGTGAGGAGAGGGGTGGGTTGGAAGCAGTGCCCCTGTGGAACTGCAGCTGCTCTTGTGTCGGTGGACAGAAACTGGTCTGAAATGAGACTCTGGCTCATAGGAATGTGTTTGCTTCCAGGAAGTGGGCTTGCCTTGCTTGGAATACACTGGCAGAATAGCCTGCTTCAAAAAAAGACCACTTCTGTCAGCTGCATGAGCACAGTACTGGAGGCTTTTGGTTGGGACAGAGACTGCATGGGCTGCTTCCTGCGGGATGTGGCTTCTCAGCTGGCCGAGGGGAGGCGGCTCCTTTCACCCTTCACTTAAGGAGCATCTGAAGTGCTGGCATCCCACTTTGCTGGCCCTGCTGCCACGCTGAGGGCGATGGAGAGGAGCTGGAGGCAGGCGTGGATCTGAGCTGATGCG